TAGAGTAGTAGTAGTAGTAGTAGTATAGTAGTAGTAGTAGTAGTAGTAGTAGTAGGTAGTAGTAGAGGTAGCAGCAGCAGCAGCAGCAGCAGCAGCAGCAGCAGCAGTAGTAGTAGTAGTAGCTAGTAGTAGTAGTAGTAAGTAGTAAGTAGTAGTAGTAGTAAGTAGTAGTCGTAGTAGTAGTAGTAGTAGTAGTAGTAGTAGTAGTAGTATTAGTATTAGTAGTAGAATAAGTATTAGTAGTAGTAGTAGTAGTAGTAGTAGTAGTAGTAGTAGTAGTAGTAGTAGTAGTAGTATTACTAGTACTAGCACTAGTAGTAGTAGTAGTAGTAGTAGTCGTAGTAGTAGTAGTCGTCGTCGTCGTCGTCGTCGTCGTCGTCGTCGTAGTAGTAGCAGTAGTAGTAGTAGTAGTAGTAGTAGTAAGCATACTAGTCGCAGTTTCGCTGCTACGAATAGTAGAAACAGTCGCTACTTTGATGTTATTATGTGGCGTTTGGGTGGCAGAAAGGCGGCATATTAAAGACATCGTAGAGACCTCATAGAGGCCTCGTAGATGCTTCCTAGAAGCCTCTTGCAGGCCTCATAGAGGCGTCTAAGACGATTCTAAGAGGCATCTTGAAAGCCTCTACGAGGCCTCTAGGGCTTCGAGAGACCTTTAAACAGTAGCCTCTACCGGCCTCTTCGAAGCATCTGAGAGGCCTCTTAGAAGCCTCGTAGAGGTTTCTCGGAGGCTTCTTCCGAGAGGTCTCTTAGAAGCCTCGTAGAAGTTTCTAAGAGTCTTCTGACAATGTTTGAAGACTTCTCAGGGGCTTCCAAGAGGCTTCTTAGAAGCCTCTAAGAGGCTTCTTAGAGGCTTCTTAGAAGCCTCTTGGAAGCCTCGTAGAAACCTCGTAGAAGCCTGCCTCCTCGAAGACTCGTTGAGCCTTCTGAGAAGGCTCTAAGAAGCCTCTTAGAGGCTTCAAAGGCCTCTTAGAAGCCTCTTAGAGGCCTCTTAGAACTTGCCAAGACGCCTGAACGATGCTTCTTTGCGACGAGTGAGAATTCCTTACGTTTGAGAACCAGTAACTGGGCAATAAACCAGTTACACCAGGGAAACTCCATTCCACCGGTGTATATACCATGTAACCGGCGTTTGCAATTCCCCCCCCCGCCCCCCTCCCTCCCCAGCGTTCCCAGCGTTCCTCAGCGGCCCCGCGCCCCCTCCGCCCCGCTCACTTCATTCCGCGTCGCGTCGCCACCCCTCGCCCCCCACCCAGTGCCCCCTGCGCCCCGACGGCTTTATTCCGCGTCGCGTTGCGCTCCCCCTCGCCGCCCCTGCCCCGTTTTCCTCAGCTCTAGCTCTGTCCCCAGCGGCCCACTTTGTCTTCGCCACCTTTCTGCCCCCGTTGGCCGAGTGCCCCTCTGTCCCCAGCTCTGTCGCCAGCGGCCCCCTTGTCTTCACCGCCCCTTTGCCCCCAGCAGCCAGCCGAGCGCCCTCTCCGCTCCGACCGCTTTATTTCGCGTCGCCCCCCCCGTCTTCAGTTCTGTCCCGGCACGGCACGGCGCCGGCCCCCCTTCCGCAGCCCATATGCGCTCTCGGCGCGGCGCGGCACCGGCCCCCGTTCCACTCCGAGTAGTTTATTCTCTTGTACAGGGTGTCTAGAGCTCCGATCATTTCATTCCGCGTCGCGTCGCAGTCCCTCTCCGCTCCCGTTCCCCTCCCTCCCCGGCGTTCCCCAGCGGCCTAGTGGAGCCACCGCCCAATGCCCCTTCCGCTCCGACCACTTTATTCCGCGTCGCGTCGCACCCCCCCCTGTCAATGGAATCTCCGCTCAGTACCCCCTCCGCCCCGACCACTTTGTCCCGCGTCGTGTCGCGTCTGCTCCAAAACGATCCCCCGCGGCCCAGTGGAACACCCGCCCAGTGCCCCTTCCGCCCCGACCGTTTTATCTCGCATCGTGTCGCACTCCCCCCCGCCCCCGCTCCCCCTTCCCCGGCGTTCCCCAGCGGCCCGGTGGAACTCCGCCCAGTGCTTCCTCCGCCCCGACATGGCGTTCCCCAGCGACCCAGTGGGCGCAGATCCCCGCCCAGTGCCCTCTCCGCCCCGACCGCGTAATTCCTCTTCGCATCGTTCGCATCGCACGCCCCTCCCTGCCCCCGCTCCCCCCCTCCCCAGCGTTCTCCAGCGGATCAGTGCACCTTTCGCCCGACCATTCGTTTCCGCGTCGCGCCGCACCCCCCCTCCCTAGCGTTCACCCGCGCCCAAGTGGAACCCCCGCCCAGTGCCCCCTCCGCCCCAGCAATTTTGTGCTGCGTCGCGTCGCGCCCCCCTTCCACGCCCCCGCCGCCCCCCCTTCCGCAGCGTTCCCTAGCGGCCCAGTGCCCTTCGCCCCGACCATTTTATTCCGCGTTGCGTCGCGCCCCCCTCCCCAGCGTTCAACCGCGCCCCGGTGGAGCTTCCGCCCAGTGCCCCCTCTGCCCCGACGACTTTATTCCGCGTCGCGTCGCACCCCCCCTCCGTGCTCCCGCCCCCCCCCCCCAGCGTTTTCCAGCGGCCAGTGGGACCTCCTCCCCGACTATCTATTTCCGCCGCGTCGCGTCGCCCCCCTTCCCCGGCGTTCCCGCGCGTCCCAGTGGAACCCCCGCCCAGTGCCCCCTCCGCCCCGACAGTTTCACTCCGCGTCG